GTCTATTTAAACCCCTGGGAGACCCCTCCATTTTGTCTTCAGCTGACTAAGGAGATAGCTTCTCCACCCCCAAGGATACCTGAAAGAAACTGGAACAAGGGACAGTAACTACAGGGGGTGTGAGTGATTGCTGGACCCAGATTAGAAGGAGACTAGTCTGTAAAAGGAAGCTAACTGGTGAGGTTTTTATCTGTGTTCAGTTTTCTTAGACATAGACTTGTGTGTTCTATTTTATCGTGCTTGGTAATTCACTTTGTTCTGTCTGCTACTACTTGGAACCACTTAAATCCTACTTTCTGTATTTAATAAAATCACTTTTTACTTATTAATTAACTCAAAGTATGTATTAATACCTGGGGGGGAGGAGGGGGCCGGCAAACAGCTGTGCATATCTCTATCAGTGTTATAGAGGGTGAACAATTTATGAGTTTACCCTGTATAAGCTTTAAGTAGGGTAAAATTGATTTATTTGGGGTTTAGACCCCATTGGGAGTTGGGCATCTGAGTGTTAAAGACAGGAACACTTCTGTAAGTTGCTTTCAGTTAAGTCTGCAGCTTTGGGGCATGTGGTTCAGATCCTGGGTCTGTGTTAGAGCAGACTGGCTCAGCAAGACAGGGTACTGGATTCCCAGGCTGGCAGGGAAAGCAGGGGCAGAAGTAATCTTGGCACATCAGTTGGCAGTTCCCAAGGGGGTTTCTGTGATCCAACCTGTCACAAGCAGCACCTCAGAATATCCCATAGCCCAGCAGTTTAGGCACGCACCTGAGAGGTGATGGACCCTGTTCAAATCCCTTCTCCTCCTTAGACAGAGTAGGAGATTGCACTGGTGGTCTCCCACTTCTCCAGTGACTACTCAACCACTGAACTAAAGGTTATAAGGAAGGTCCTCTCCCCCTCACCCAGGGTGCTCTATGTAGATCTAGGCAGCCCTTGAGTTCACCTACCAGCTCAGGCCCTGCACATGACTTAGGTGGGGAAACATCTGTCTTCCCCAGTTTGTGGATTGCATTGGGGCTTAGGCATCTCAGGGCCTAGAGTGAAGCGGCAGAGTGCACGCCCAGAGAGGCAGAAACATAGGCACATTGGAAACTTTTACTGCAAACAAGAGTGAGTTTAGCAGTTTAGCAGCTTAGGCAGCAGGCGGTCAGTTTTGTGGATCACAGTGCTGCCTAAAAATGGGACTCATGTGCTTAAGTCTCAGAGTCAGGCACTTAAGTACCTTTGTGGAGCCAGGCCTTAGTCGGTGCCGGAGTTCCCCATCTTTAAAATGGGGATAGCACTTCCCTCACTCAGAGGGGTGTTCTGAGGATAAATATATTAAAGATTGTAGTATCTGAGCACCGCACAGTGATGCAGAGCATATGAAACAGATTAACCACTCTGTCCCTCAGTTTTCCCACCTGCAAAATGGCGACGCTTACTCATTTCATAGGAGTGAGGTGAGACTTAACGATTGCAAAGTGCTTTGAAATCATAGAACTGCAAAGTATTTCTCCTTTTCTCTGTATAAACCACTTGGCTTTATAGTGCAAACCCATCCTGAGCAGACAGCTAATCAAAGGGAGCCAGTGAAGGACACCAACATACTGAGGACTTGGGATAACTTCCAAAGGAGACAATAGAGTTGGGGGCAAGAGGGACCTGGTGATATTCAACATTTTTTCTTTTACATTTAAAAAAAAAATCCCTTTGAGATTGGATAGATGGCTGGATAGGCTCTGTCAAAATGGAGATTTGGCTGAGAACACCACGTCACATCTGGCCTCAGTGATACTTTGCCATTTCAGAGAGTAAAGGAACTGGGACTGTGAAGAACTGGGTTCTGTTCCCATCTTTGATAATGATTTCCTTTGTGACTTGGGGCCCTTTAGATAGATGGGGGGGGGGGGGGGGGGGAGAGCCATAACACAGAATACCAAAGGCTCCCTCTCCCTCTGGCAAGGAGGAACTATACCAGATGAACAATAAATAGGGCCCTGACTAGGCTACTTTCAGTCCCTTTACACCTCAATTCCTCTTGTTTTGTTCCCCAGGGGCTGGTGTAGTGGCTCTACTTCACACAGAAACATGCACCACCCAGGCCCCAAGCTATAGTGTTCCTGGGATACAGGGGTGTGGCCAAAGCAAACTGTCCTATGGATATTCCAGGTTGCTGGATAGTGCCTTGGGGTCCACTGCAGTCCAGGTGTAAGTTAAAGCAGACCCATAGGCCAGAGCAACCTCTGGAAATCCCAAACCCCCCAGGTGCAATGGTGACAGAAAGTGATCAGCCCCGCTTCAAGACTCTTCCCACTCTTCTGAACCGCACATCCTGAAAGTGATAGGAAATACTTGACCCAAATTCAGAACTATCTTCAAATACTATCAGTAAACTAGTTGAGGTTTTTAAGAGCTTTGAAAATATAAAGCATTATAGATGTAAGCAGAGTCTGAATGAGCTCTCCCCTGACATCTAGTGGGGAGCGGTGGAAAAGGACTTCAGGAGCTGATCTCGTTTGCATGGACACACACTCCCTGCCTAGGTGCTCAGCATGATGGGATTGCTTGCCTAAATGATCACTTGTGGCTGGTGTTGGATCCCCAGTCTCCTTGTTATTGGGGCAGGAGTAATAAAGGGTTGTTATCCTTGTTGTGTGAACCAAGGGCAGCAGAACTGTACCTGGCATACCCTGATGGAGGGACTCACCCTCAACTGAATGGCACTTGCTAGGCAGGGGACATGGGTTCCAAAGCCCAATGAGTTGCGGGGAGGGAGGACAGGTACTTGTACCTGGTGCTGTGGGCCCTGTTTAAGGGTTCTAGACACCCTTTGACCCTTCTTCTCTGCACGGTATAATAAAAGAGCTAATTTAGACTCAATTGAGAGTCTTGTTCCATGCTACAGAGCTGCAATCACTGATACTTAGGTCTAAGTCAGGGATCAGCAACCTTTGGTACGTGGCCCACCAGGGTAAGCACGACTTCCCGCCGCCCCCATTGGCCTGGAGCAGCGAACTGCGGCCAATGGGAGCCGTGATCGGCAGAACCTGCGGACGCAGCAGGTAAACAAACCGGCCCGGCCTGCCTGGGTGCTTACCCTGGCGAGCCGCGTGCCAAAGGTTGCCGATCCCTGGTCTAAGTATTAGACCTACTTTGGGGCAGTGTCTCTATTTCAAGAGCCTGCCCAGTGTGCACCAGCAAGGTTCCCCCACTAACAGCTGAAATCACTGAGAGCCGTGTTAAGTGGTTGGCCCTGAAAACATCTTGGCAAGCGGTCAGCAGGGCAGCTGGCGGAGAGGCACGGCCAGTGGCCAGCAGGGCAGCTGGTGGGGAAGCACACGACCAGCAGGATGGCTGGCTGAGAGGGCCAGAGCAGAGTGGCAATCGGCCAGCAGGACAATGCATGTAATGTGCCTCCTTGCCCCGCATTCTACCCAGGGTGGGAGGTGAACTGTGCAGATGAACCTCCGAACTCTGGGGCTGCACTGGCCAAGGACAGAAACTGTGAGTGGGGTGGGACGGGCACATTAAAAGGACTTTTGGGTTGTTGGACTTAAGAACCTGAGGGGAAAAGGACACTGCCCAAATTACTTGGGTCTTTTGCTCATGGTTTATGTTTATGAACCCTAGTTGCAGGGTTTTCCCAAATTAATGCTGAGTTACTTCTCTCCTTTTATTAAAAGTTTTTGCTACACTCAAACTCTGTGCTTGTGAGAGGGGAAGTATTGCCTCTTAGAGGTGCCCATGGAGTGGTGTGTAATTGTCCCAGGTCACTGGGTTCGGGCTCAAACTGGTTTTGTGTAGTATTGTTGAAAAGGAACCCCTAGATACTGAACCCGGCCCTTCTTGCTGCTGGCTCCACTTGGCAGAAGGGTTACATATGAAAATATTGTCTCTGCCAATTCTGGAGCACTGAGCAGGGATCATCTTTGTGTAACATATACAATCGATTTCCTGCCATTCATTGCAGAATGGTGGGTTAGGCATTGATAGAACTTCATCCAGACAGATTATATAATCAGCCAAAAGCCATTGTAAGTCATTTAAAACTTAGATACAGTACATTTATCTACATGTGATTCCGTTAGATGGAACCAATCCACATGATTTTAGGTTCTTAGAACAAACCCTTCTCTTGGAATCATGTTTCTGAGAAATGTAAAGAGGTTAGGATGAAGTAATAAAGGATAAATGAGAAATCTTCCTTGAAGCCTCTGTGAAAGCTGGGGGGGGAGAGGGAGGGATTTGCTACTGTCCCTTCTAAAATGAAATTGGTGCGTCCTCATCAGTCACGCAGCTACAACAGCTAGAAGCAGATATTGTATGCCAGTACAAATAATATATATTGCACAGCATAAAAGGCTGCAACATAAATTTGAAGATATATGGAACTCCTTCATATAGGTAGGTCAAACTTTTCCCTCAAGCAGATAATTACAGGCTTGGGGTGAGTAAATCTTATTAGCCTCTCTCCACCTTATCTCTTCTCATGAGAAACTGGTGGTGGATATATCCTCCTTCAGTCCTTTTACTGAATTGCATGCTGGATATATCTTTATTCCATCCTGCTCTGACCAGGAAAACACTGGCATATCATTCTACCGTATGAATGTGGTTTTACATTAGCATTAATTAGGTCATATCAGAGAATAGTCTGAACCATAATCCCAGATCTGTTCCACTCCCATCCTGCCCCAGTGAAGGTGATGTAACAAACCCAAATTTTGAAAATGGTCCCTATCTTTATAGTAGGCCAAACACATTCTCAGCTCCAAACACACTTCGAGGCATTTGCAATCCACGATACACGTTTAGCGGCTTGGGCCCAACCATGAAGGTAAGTAAATTAAAAGTGTAGTGGTTATGACTCAGCAATCTGATCTGCTAGTGCAGACCCTCTCTAACAGCAGGGGGAACATGGCTATTTTAACATGAACCATCTTATTTTAATTTTTTGAACTTCTAACACGATACAGTATTTATGTGAAGTTGCATGGGAATAGAGAATAAGCCTACTTACCATGTTGTCCGCTGTGAGGGAAGAAAGGGGAAGAGTCTTTCATGACCCAAGTTAAATTCCAGGCAGAGAAATCAAGGGGGAGAGAAGGAATATTTGTGGGAGATTCCAAAGTGCTCATACCTTTAAATAAAAGAAAAGGATAAATGCAAATAAATGTAATATAAATAACAGGCTGAAGGATCCTAAAGTGCTTTCCAGACTATATGTAATAAGTGCCGAAATGCAGTCACCTCTTGGGTACAACACAGAAACAGTTTAACAGCACATTGCAGTACTAAGCAGCTGTTTATGACAGGACATAAAGAATACCATATCCATTGGAAACTGAAAATTAAATTATATACAGTTATGTTTCAATCCAAGGCAGATTCATAGTAGGATTTAATAGTTTCAATGGCTGAAAGGATGTCTTTTACCCATCAATGTGCACAGGGAGAATCAGGATAAATTGGTTGTTTTACATATGAAAAATGAGTATTGTTGCTCAGCAGAATTGTCAACACTACCCCTCTGTGTTTCCAAGCTTTGCTTTGACCTCAGAGTGCTTTAAGCTTAGTGTGTGTGTGTGTGTGTGTTTGTTTTTTGCACCGGGAATCCTGCACATAAAGCAGGTGAATTCATGCTTTGCTGAGTTTTTGCTGCATAAATTAAAACGTTTGAAACAAGCCTTCAGGGATTTAGACTGTTACAATGAACCAGAATGGGTTACAATGGTCAATTTTATCCATATCCACTTTGCAAAACCAGGATAACTCTACACATGTGAGAAATGGTGCCTGAATTAAAAGGCAAGCCTGCCAGGTGCAATAGAATTCCAGGGGTATAGAAATGTGGTCAATTCAAGGGATTCAGATTTTTATGTTTTCTGAAGATTGCAAGGACTTGATTCTGATCTCACTCATACTGGTGTAAATTGTGAGTAACAATGGCATAAACAAGAGGAGAATCAAGTGCTAGCCTTTCATATAAAGACACAATGTATGCTAACTTTAACTCTACTGATTGCAACAATAATTTTTAGGATATAAACTGGCTTCAACACAGTATTGTTTTGTCACTCGTCCTGGAATTGTAGACAAAAGTTTAGTTTCCTTGATGGCTGAACTATATCTTGATCCTTTGCGAATTTACGGTAAAATAACTGACTACTATATATTATTGGGTGGAATTTAGCAACATAGATATTGCCAGAGTGGATCAGACCTGTGGACCATCAAGTCTAGTATCCCATATTTAACTGTAAATAAAAGAGTAATCTCCCTACATACAAACTTAATACACAACTATGCAATGACTCAGCTGGGAGCAAGGGGGCTTGTGTCTATCTAACCTCAAGTGGTTAGTGGTTGACTTATGCCCTTCATTGAGACTTGATCATGGTGGTAATGTCGGATTTCATTACAAAAGTCCTGTTTGTTGCTAGGGTCTGACTATTTCAACAATTTTACTGTCATTAGACTAGTATTGCTGAATTTAAAAGTAAAATATACAGTAACTCCTTGCTTAACATTGTAGTTATGTTCCTGAAAAATGCGACTTTACGTGAAACGATGTTAAGCGAATCCAATTTCCCCATAAGAATTAATGTAAATGGGGGGGAGGAAGGGGATTTTTTTCATCATTGCTGTGTACAGTATTAAATTGTTTGTTTAAAATTTATACTGTGTGTGTGTGTGTGTGTGTGTGTGTGTGTGTGTGTGTGTGTGTACACATAGTATAAATTTTAAACAAACAATTTAATACTGTACACAGCAATGACTATTGTGAAGCTTGGTTGAGGTGGTGAAGTCAGAGGGTGGCAGAGGGTGGGATATTTCCCAGGGAATGCCTTACTGGCTAAATGATGAACTAGCACTCGTCTGAGCCCTCAAGGGTTAACACATTGTTGTTAATGTAGCCTCACACTCTACAAGGCAGCACAAATGGAGGGAGGGGAGACATCATGGCAGACAGAGACACACACCCTGAGAGAGAGAGAGAGAGAGAGAGAGATGCGCATTGCCCCTTTAAGTACGCTGACGCCACTCTAAGTACATTGCCTTTTTAAGTAGATCAGCAAGTTGAGAAAGCCTCTGCTGCCAGAAAGCTCCCTCCCGTGTTCTCCCCCTCCACCATGGAGATGGGGTAAGCGGGGGGGGCAGGAGCAAGGGGAAGGGGGACACCCTGACATTAGCACTCCTTTCCACCCCCTTGCACAGCAAGCAGGGGGCTCCCAGGAGCATCTCCAAGGCAGAGGGCAGGAGCAGCACATGGCAGTAGGGGGAGGGACAGCTGAACTGCTGGCAATTGATAGCCTGCTGGGCGGCTGCCGCACAGGGAACTTAGGGGAGCGGGGAGCTGATGGGGGGGCTGCCAGTCCACCCTGGTTCCAAGCCCCCACCAGCTATCTCCAATGGGCTGCTCTTTCTGCAAGCCGTGAACAAAGCAGGTGGCTGCTAAACAACGTTATAAGGAGCACTGTGTAACTTTAAATGAGCATGTTCTCTAATTGATCAGCAATGTAACACGAAACAACGTTAACCGGGACGACTTTAAGTGAGGAGTTACTGTATTGAACAAATGAAGTTCTTGAAGTGGCTGACTCCACTAAACAAACAGCCAAACAAATAAATGTAATAAGGGTGTGTCACCTGATTTGGGACTGGGTGACCAAATGGCAATACTCCCCGTCACATAATAAGGTAAGCATCCATCGACGCTCCAGAATGTGGAGAGATTCAGCATCCTACTTCCAAATCATCTGCTTCATAAGGACAAGATCTTTGAGGCCTCTTGATCTCTAAAAGCCCTAAATGAGTGCAATTTTTGTATACATGTTCATGGTAGATAGATAGAACCTTGGTTGTGAACCCCTCTGAATTCTCGAAAAGGTCAGATGTTGATCTGAAATTTGTAGCAGGCCTCCATCTCTCTCTCTTACACCCACCCCTCTTACAGTGAAGGTCACTCAACTGCATTTCCTACAAGCAGAGTTAAGTCGCTGTTAACACCCAGACCAACCTCATTTGGCAAACTATACCTTACCAACCCAAAATCCTAACACCCAAACATTCTGCCAGACTCCCCACCTTCACGTCAGTTATAACCCACCATTGCACATATCCCCTTCTTCAGATTCATGCCACTCTAACTCCAACCTCACCTAGATTGAAATATATCTTACTAATGCACTTGCTTTTACTGCAAAAGTGTATAATAAGTTTTTTCCTATCCAAATTCTGGAGTCAGAATTAAAGTTGTCTCTGAGCAGGGCTAGATGACACTGTAGTAAAAATACCTGAGCGCTGCCTACAATAGCTCTTCTACTATTGCTAACACTGAAGAGAGTTACGCCAGTGGTAGTTCTCATAAATGATCTGGAAAAAGGGGTAAACAGTGAGGTGGCAAAGTTTGCAGATGATACTAAACTGCTCAAGATAGTTAAGACCAAAGCAGACTGTGATGAACTTCAAAAAGATCTCACAAAACTAAGTGACTGGGCAACAAAATGGCAAATGAAATTTAATGTGGATAAATGTAAAGTAATGCACATTGGGAAAAATAACCCCAACTACACATACAATATGATGGGGGCTAATTTAGCTACAACGAGTCAGGAAAAAGATCTTGGAGTCATCATGGATAGTTCTCTGAAGATGTCCACGCAGTGTGCAGAGGCGGTCAAAAAAGCAAACAGGATGTTAGGAATCATTAAAAAGGGGATAGAGAATAAGACTGAGAATATATTATTGCCCTTATATAAATCAATGGTACGCCCACATCTCGAATACTGCGTACAGATGTGGTCTCCTCATCTCAAAAAAGATATACTGGCACCAGAAAAGGTTCAGAAAAGGGCAACTAAAATGATTAGGGGTTTGGAATGGGTCCCATATGAGGAGAGATTAAAAAGGCTAGGACTCTTCAGCTTGGAAAAGAGGAGACTAAGGGGGGATATGATAGAGGTATATAAAATCATGAGTGATGTGGAGAAAGTGGATAAGGAAAAGTTATTTACTTATTCCCATAATACAAGAACTAGGGGCCACCAAATGAAATTAATAGGCAGCAGGTTTAAAACAAATAAAAGGAAGTTCTTCTTCACTCAGCGCACAGTCAACTTGTGGAACTCCTTGCCTGAGGAGGTTGTGAAGGCTAGGACTATAACAGAGTTTAAAAGAGAACTGGATAAATTCATGGTGGTTACGTCCATTCATGGCTATTAGCCAGGATGGGTAAGGAATGGTGTCCCTAGCCTCTGTTTGTCAGAGGATGGAGATGGATGGCAGGAGAGAGATCACTTGATCATTGCTTGTTAGGTTCACTCCCTCTGGGGCACCTGGCATTGGCCACTGTCCGTAGACAGGATACTGGGCTAGATGGACCTTTGGTCTGACCCGGTACGGCCGTTCTTATGTTAACAATTCAGGATTTTATAAAAAAATTATAGTGTAGACGCAGCCTTGAGATTCAGTTCAATTGATCTTACTCTTGTGATGTTTTTGCTTCCCTGTATTCTTTATAATCCTGTAACTTTATCTCAAGGTCTTTGCTTGGATTATTGGCCTTAGTACAAAGGCAAGAAGATTCTATCAGAAGTTATGAATCCTTCCCAATTAAGTCATCTTCAGAGAAAGATGATGGGTAAAAGGTTTTTGTATAGACAAGAGGCCATGCTCCTCAATGAGGAATTAATTATTTGATTTCAGGTAAGAGTCACAGGTCAAGAGAAAGAAAGACCTTTCCTCTTCTACTTTATTGTAGCTCCAAGGTATTTCATGTCCTGAACGGTAATTACAGTAAGACCTACAAATCAAATAAACAAATTCCTCATGCTTTTATGAGTCTCTCGAGAATAATCCACAAATAAATTATTTTGCTGTCATTTTACAGAATAAAATGTTTTTGCTTCCTTAAGGGAGCAGAATCTGAGCCGGAATCTTCCTCTAACTCTTACACAACATGCCAACTATCCTTTCTGGTTCCTTGTGCCATGGTGCTTTATCACTTTTTTTATAGCAGTAACGCTAACCTTTTAAATAAATAAATGAATTAGCAACTGGAAGCTGACAGCTCCATTTTTAGTAGCCAGAAGGTTGGCAGGATATAATAAACTATAGAGAGGAGGCACATTTCAGTAC